AAAATTTTTTTTTGACTTTAAATCAATATTTTCAAATAAATTTATTAATTAAGCATTAATAAAACTTTGATATTTTATTAATTAGATTCTAAAATATATATATTTAAAGTTTTATCTTAATTAAATTATTATTTTTGAATTATAATAAAAAAAATCTGTCCAATTATTTTTGACCCATACTGTATATCTAAAAAAAGTTGTTTTCTTTTGAAAAATAATATAGTCTTTTGATTTCTTTCATATTTAATAAATTTTTTCTTTATTAATTATAAATAATATCTTGTTTATAATTTTTTTAACATGAAATATTATAGCTATATTAAAAAGAAAATTGTTTTAATTAAACTTGTCTGAATTACAAAATAAATATTATTTATTTATTTATTTTTAATTATATATTTATTTGTTTATTTATTTTATTTTATTTTATTTATTTATTTAATTTATATTTATTTATTATTTATTTAATTATTAAAAGTTAATTTTTTTTTTCAATTATAAAAAGGCATCAGATGCAAAACTTTATTGATATATAAATTGATATCCAAGTTACATAAAACATTTTTATAAAATAAATCTTTAAATTAATGCTAACCTATCTATAATGCTAACTATTACTACCTTTGATATACTTAATATGCTTTAGATTAGTTCTGGTGCTAAATGATTAATGACTTTCCAGAGCTAATATGCGAATTTGCCAAATTACATGAAGGCGCTGCAGCCACAATTCTCATATTAGCCTCCAAACTCATAACTTGGACTGATACTTGTTAATATGTAGATAATATTATATGTAAAACAAGAAGAAGAAAATAGAGATGATGTGCTTTGAAAATAAAAATAGTGTTGTTGATGTTGTAGGTGGCTAGTGAAAAAAACTGATTATAATAGGAGTAAGTGGCTTTAATTATTAATGTGATAGTGTTGTTGATGGTTAAGGGCTAAATAAGATATGTGAAAAGCCTAATATTTCCACATGAATATAATGATATTGTTGTTACTTGCATTGGGAGAGTTGATGGGGTTGGATAGATTGTTGATAGTATTGTTGAAGCAGTATGTTGTGAGATAGCTATTGTTATTGGAGTTGTTATTATTATAGTTGAGTAAATTGTTAGAATGGTATGATATAGAGTTAGTATTATTGTTGTTTGAAACTGGTTTAGACTTGTTTGATTGTTACAGTATTGTGTTAACAGTTTGTAATTGGTTGTTGAGAAAGTAATAATCGTTTGGAGGATGGAGCTGGTTTTGGTTTTTGTGTTTGGAAAAATTTTTTTGTGTATAGTAAGTTGGCACAGTATTGTACATCGGAAGAGAAATAGTTAACAAAGTTAAGGTTGAGTTGAAACAAGCAAGAGATCTAGAAACTTTGCTTGCATATGATTTGAAAAGTGAGATTGTAGTGTTGAAATATAATGTGATAATACTAGTGGGGCACTGGTAATGAAAGATAGAAGTAAACAAGTTCATAAAAGAGAACTGCCATAAGCATTTCCCTATGCAAACAAAAGACAAGCGAGACTCCCAAACTTGCTTAACCTTTGCCTAGAGGTTCCATCCTGATGCAATAGAGGTCCCTAAAGTCCTTATATTCTTAAGCTTATAACATAAATAACATATTGAGAGAGTGGTAAGCACTTCTTCCAGGAAGATTACTATAAAAGGAAATTTTCCAAGAATCAGTGGTGAATGAGTGAGAGTTTTTTTTAATTATTAAAAGTTAATTATAACTTATATTAAAATATTAAATATAATTATTTAAAAAAAGTAATATAGTGAATATTTTCTAAATGCACACTCTTCAGGATATAAAATTTTTTTTGAAAATTATGCATTTATAGAGGATATGTATTTATGATGGTGATTTTATTAAGAGTTTTATATATTTGGGACCAAGCTTGACCATGTATTTAGAAAGAGAAAATATAATAAGTGCATTTATAAAGAGTATATTTAAGAAGGTCTCTCTGTATAATGAAAATATTGTTTTTTATAACTTTTAATTATTATTATTTTACTTACAATTGATAATTTTTTTAATTAACTTTTTAATAATTTTTAAAAATAACTAATATTATTATTTTGTATAAATATATTAAATCAAATAGTTTAAGTAAAAACTATAAATAATAAGTATAAAAATTTATAAAATTATTAAAAAATACAAAAAAAAAAAAATCAGGTGAAAATATTATTATAAAAATGAATATAATTTATTATAATTTATTTATTTTTAAAAAATATTATTGACACAATATAGTATTATTATTTTTATTATTTTTAATAATAATATTTTTATTTAAATTCTTATTTAGTTATTAAACTTTATATTATTTTTACAAAATTTATTTATATAATAATTTTATTTGAAATTTTTTACTTGTAATCAATATTTTATTTTTATCTAATTTATATTTTAAACTTATAAAATATTATATTTAATTATATTATTAAAGTATTATTAAATTGAAATTAATTTTTTAAACTTATAATAAAATATTATATTGAATTATATTATCAAAGGGTTAGATCGAAATATATTAATTTGAAATTAATTTTTGTAAAATTTTTTTAAAAGCTTATTAACTTAATCTTTATTAATAAACATTTATTATTTAAAATTGTGTTTTTTATTTTTAAATATAAAATTATTTATTCAATCAATTAAACATTCTTAATGATTAGAATAATTATAATTTAAGTGATACAATAATTTTAAAAATTAAGTAGACAATATAATTATTCGATATTATTCTTAATCAAATTTATTTTGATAAAATTTAAAGATTTATTACAGTATTGAAATATTGTTTATTGATTGTTTTTTTTTGTAGAAATTAAAAATACATATAATTTTTGATATTTATATACTGTATTTTATCATATTATATATAATTTGATTAAACCTTCGTATCCAAACAAAGCATTGAGCTTTACACAAATGTTTTTTCGCTTTGATCAACAGAATTGATATCTTTATCTTTATATAATTAAATAATTGTAAATTGTGTACTTTCATTGTTCCTAAAACCCAAAAGCAGTGACATTTATCGAATTGAACACGAAGTTAATAAAAGCAAACCGGTTCACATACGTAATTAAGCAGAAAGTAGTGACATTTGTTAAAGACATTGAATGGAACATGTGAAATTAAAGGAAATTACTGTAAAGCTAACCGGATCACATGCATAACTTTTTCCAATATCATAATATAAACTTGACCAAAATGATATCACAATAGCCTCATTCTTCCTTAAACATGACATATCTGAATAAAGCAGGTTTTGAATTACATTATCCACTAGATATCGGAGCTGAAAACGTCAACCCGTGATTTTTATCACAAAAGAAACACAAGAAAAAGTAAAAAAAATATTTACTATTGACACGACAAAAACTACAAACAATAGATCCTACTATTACCTATTTTAAATTTGCCCAAATCGGTGAAATTCATTGATGGGAATTTCGAGAATCTTTAGACATATAAAGTAGTTTAAATTTTTCTATTTTCTTGACGAAAAGTTACAAATGGCGTTCTACTTATCAGAAGCGATCTTTCTTGTCCTTGCTATTCTATCTCTTTACATTGTTCGTTTTTATTATGCGTATTTTACTCGTCCATCTCCTCTTCCGGGACCATTCCCGTTTCCACTATTCGGCAACATGCTAACGTATCCGGGTGACATGCTCACCTGGTCCAATCACCACTCCAAAATCTATGGTGATTTTTATGAGGTTTATATGGGCACCCAACGCACCTTCTGGTTGTGCCGTGGCGATTTATGTGAGAAGATATTTAGCAGTTCAAGGGCTAACAATTTCTTACTTCGTACTCCTCCAAATGACGGATTGGATGAATTTGACGTGTCAAAGAAAGGTTTGCTATTTAATCGAGATTTAGATAATTGGAGGTTTTATAGAAAATTTATGAGTAGAGTTATGATGACACCTAAATTCTTGAAGGAGACGTGTGAATGGGTACAGGATATTTGGGGGGAGATGGAAGAATATTGGCAAGAAAACGATGGTAACCTTAAAAATGATTCGGGTAAAGTTCTCGACCTCTCCGGATGGGCGTTGCGAGTAACCACCGACTCGATAATACATCTTACCACACATAAGAAAGCTTATTCACTGGCAAGCTATCATAAGAAACTCTCGCCAAACTCGGTACTACTCAAACAGGTTCCGAAGAGTGTACTGAAATCTTCTGACAAGTTTGTTGGTGCTATTAGAATGTTCATCGACAGTTTGGCATTCTTTATGTCCACACCGTGGATTACAAGAAGGATGCCGGGCGTGAAAGAGCGCGTTAGGGAATTAATTCGTAATAGAGATTGGTTAAATGAAGATTTATTAAGAATTATTCGAGAAAGACGGGAAGAAGTTGAAAGATTGAATGATTGTAATACTAAAGATCACACGACTTTAGGTGAAAGTAAAAATATCGAATTAAGAACAGATCTGTTAACTATGCTCTTGACAGTGAATACAAATTTGGATATTACCAAAGGCATTGGCGACGAAATAAATTGTAATCCTATAACCGACGACGAAATCCGAGAGATTATGATAGAAGTATTTGCCGGCGGAATTGATACAGTAAGGAATAATGATTACACATTCTTTTCAAACATCCCTCTAATACACAATTTTGTCTTTTCTAACATAAAATTTGCAGACGGCGAACACGATCTGTTACGTAATCTATCACCTCGAGCATCATCCGAATGTCAAACAACGATTTTTGAAAGAACTGGATTCCACATTTGGAAGGGATCCTAACTATCGATTCAAAATTGAGGATTTGAGCAAACTCGAGTACAGCGAGGCAATTATTAAAGAAGGTAGAATGAATAACCTTGTAAAGTAAGAATGTAACGCAATAAATATTTTAAAATTCCACAATCTCATAACTTTTACAGTACAACGGGTCTTCCCCACTACACCGATAAACTTCCGAGCAAATGTCGAACCATGCGAGATCGGCGGTTGCAAATTTCCCGCCGATACTCAATTCTTCGTTAATAACCAATCGGTGAATTCTCATCCAGCTCACTGGACGAATCCTCATGAATTCAATCCTGACAGATTTCTCAGCAATCCCATTGATCCCAAACAGCCTAAACAAACGGTGTATAATAGTTTTGGCGGGGGATTGCGCATGTGCCCCGGAAAAAATATAGCCATGATGCAATTGAAGGCATTTATGGTATTGCTATACCGTAAATGGGAGATAGAATTGCTCGATATGAATGCACCGATCAAGAATCATTTTACTATTGTCAGACAATGTGATACTCTTGAGGTGAGGATCAGAAAAAGGGTTTTAAAAGTGTAAAGTTCGAGGTAGTTTGTTCTTTTTATTATGCTACTTTTTTGTTAGATAATCAAATATCAAAATTTAAAGAAATTTACTAGACACGGTAATTTCATGTACTGTATTTAATATCATCACTTATTTATATAAATTTTATATTGTCTAAAAAGTTATGAATATAAATAATAATTAAAATTTTGATTTTTTTTAATAAAATTTTTTAATCAAGTTTACTTTATATCGATAAAATTATTTTGCAATTGAAGGGAAAGATAATAAACAGATCATTTCTTTAAAAATAATACAGTATAAAGGTTTTTCTTAGAATTATTGTATTTTTAATTATTTGTTTATATGCAAAAAAGAAAATTAATTTTAAAAATACAATTTTTATATCAAAATCCAATAAAAAAATTTTATTTCGTTTTTTTGTCACAACTAAAATGAACTTGTATAAAAATTTAAAAATTTAAAAATTATTTTTTATTTCATTTATTTATTAAATTCAAATTATATGATACCATAAATTATCAATGTTATTGATGAAAAAGTTCAAATGACATTTTTATTAAAATATATATTTTTCAATTATAATTAATTATCTATTATTAATATCTATTTGATTTTTTAATTTATATTTTAAGAATTTGCATTATCTTTTATTTACAAATATACTTAAACCAAAAATTTAAAAAATTCTCTATTGGATAGAAAATAAAATATTTGTAATTATTTTAATACGTTATTTTATTTATAAAAAAAAATTACAGTAAAAAAAATTAAATTGATTGTGATTTTAGTAAACATACAGTATATTATTGACTTTAAGATTTTTATGGTAAAAAATTTTATTAAAAAATTAATTTTATACGAATTTTCGAATTAAAGTTGTTGATCAATAATCATATACATAATATCTAACTCACTTATACTGTAGTCAGTTTTTCATTTTCTATTTATAAATTCAAAATGGTTAACTTATATATCTCATTGACCTGTGTTTTACAGGAGATTATAATAATTGTTGTGTATGCATTATCGCTGATTAGAAAAGGGTTTTAATCATGGAATTTTTAGATACCTTATTTCACTCGTGAAAGTAGCAACATTTTCTTGATATCAATTAAAGTGCAAAATAACAAATAATATTTTTTGCCGATGTGTCGAAATCACATTCAAACTCATTGTTAATTAATCGATTTAATTGATAATTGGTTGATTTCAAAATCAACTAAACAACTAAGTAATTATTCGGCTATCACTGGTTTCGGCCCAGTTATTAAGGTTGAACTTTCCCTCGAATTACAAATAAATAATATGTTCGATAAGCATTACAAAAAGGGCAAGAGCCTTCTAGTAAATGCTAAAAAGAAAAAACTCGAGGGTCATCTAAAGGATGCATTAGATATCTATCAAGAAGCAATTGAGGAATTTAAAGTGCAAATGTCTTCTCGCTTTAATAACAAAAGTAATAAAACCAAAAGATGCATAGCCGAAGCCTATGTAGAATGTGGAAATATTTATGAATCTTTAGGAGAAATGGACAATGCAGATAATTGCTGCAAAGAAGCTCAAAAGTATCACGAAGCCTTAAGCGAACTTGAAATTTCAAAAAATCACTTGCATGCAGAAAACATACTTACAAAAAACGAAGATCCAGGAGAAATGCATAATGCAGAAGTTCGCTATGAAGAAGCTCAAAAGCACGAACCGAAATATCGTGAATCATTAACCGAACTTGAAGCGGCAAAGAATATCTTGTATACAGAAAACATACTTACAAAAAACTCTTGTACCAGCTCAAGCGTATTACCGACCTCTTTAATAGAGACAACGACGCCGACCTTTTCATCAAATTTAGGGTTTTTTACCCAAGATCCACCGTTAACATTCGAGTCGCATTCAAAGATAGAAGACGTAAATGATATTCACAGCACTAAGAATTTAGCCTATCATTTGCAGTCTGATAGTCAAGCTCCAGAACAAAAGCAAAAATTAAAAGATTTGGCCCTCGAGATTATTAGACTATCTTTTAAATGCACCAAGCCTGAGGAGATGATCCAAGAACTTGCCATCTTAGCGTCTGTCCCGAATAAGAAGATTTACGAAGAATTGTTAGAGCAAAGTAGTCAGCTAATTAAAAATTCAACATCATTGCGCTCAGAGCATCTGTTTATCTTAACACAAGTGATTCGGAACATACCTGACTCACTTTTGAGAACTGGCGAGGTAAATGCAACGCATTTAGTGGCAATATTAGAGTTATTACATAAACGCTTGGACGACCTACGAAAGTCGAACAATGAGACCAAACTCGGCGAACTATTGCAAACAATCTATACATTATTGGATGTAATGGTGCAAGTAGGTGTTAAAGGTGCTAGTTGTGAAAACTTACATGCGTCATTATATCAACAGTTCAAAGAGCTAGAAGATATTCCGGCGCTAAATTACCATGCTCGTTACGCCTGTCGGGCATTGCTGTACATCACAAACGATGAACAATTCTGGCAAGGAGTCATGGGGCGAATTTTAGAAGCATCGACTGAAGCTCTAAATTCAGTTAACACATTTAAAAATTTTGGTCCAAGCAAATTATTAGAAACGCCTAAAGATTTTGGCGAGGAATTTGAAGGTATTAGAGAAGTTGTTGACCTTATTCAGGAAATGTTTGAGAGAGGTCAAAAATTAGAAGAGGGGACAGAGGATATCCGCCGGGAGTTTAGAAAACCAGGTTTGTGGTATTTGGCTTTGCGAATTATAGACATATACCTTCAAGCAAATCAGTTAGTAAAACTCGAGCAGTTTGTCCGTCAGAATCCTTATAATAAGAACAAATGGTTTTTAATGGGCCTGTGTCAACGATTAGGGCAGATTGCTTGTACACAACGGGATTCAGAGATACAACAAGGGGCGGTTAGGTTCTTAGGTGATCTATATCAAAATGAAATTCAGTGGGGTAAACATTCAGAAGTTAAAGAATGGGCTTTTACGACTTTACAACTTTTAACGAAGCAGTCTAATAAAAACTTGCAAAATTATGCCAAAGAGATTATTAGTAAGGTAGCCCCTAACGAAGAGACTCGTGTATGTGACGTATACGGCTTTCATGTATGGAGCTTTGTCGATGAATCAGATTTTAATTCTAGATTAATAATTGAAGCGCGTCTTAAATTATCACAGTGTTTAGCGTCGAATGCCACAGAACCGCTGGTTCCATTAGACAGAATTAAAAAAGAATGCTTGGATGAACTTGAACAAGACAAAGAGATTAAAAACGCGTTAGACCTGTATGTGCCATCAAAAGGAAAGTGGACCCCAGATGCACCGGATTCCTTTAATCTAGAGGCTAAGATTGATTCGTTCTTAGGTTCAGAAAAGAAGGTTTTACTGCTCTTAGGTGAAGCTGGGGCGGGCAAGTCTACTTTCAACCGTCATCTTACACGACGTCTTTGGGCGAACTATTCATCGAAAGACGAGTTGGGCAAAAAACATATCCCCTTATTTGTCTCACTTCCAACTATATGTAATCCTAATGAGAAATTAATTCAAAATTATCTAAGAGAAATGAACTTTTCCGAGGAAATTATCGAAAACTTGAAACAAGACTATAAGTTCGTATTCATATTGGATGGATATGATGAGATCAAGGACCGTCAGTCAAATTTCTATGTTAAAAATGAATTTCATAAGTGGAATGCCAAAGTTATTCTTAGTTGTCGACCGGAATATTTAATTATAAATTATCAACAAAACTTTACTCCCGATAATAACCCTAGACTTTATCAGGAAGTATGGTTAGCTCCTTTTTCTAAAGAGGAAATTCGAGAATATATAGGTAAGTACGTCAAAAAACAAGAAGAAATCTCACAAAAGACACTATGGGATTTGCAAAGCTATGAAGCCGCTTTAAAACATATTCCTCATTTGGATCAGTTACTGAGTAACCCCTTTATCTTAAAGATTGCTATGCAAGTAATACCAGACTTAGATCAGAAAAAGAATGAGAACTCGGCAAAAATTATAACACGTTTGATCTTATATGATGAATTTGTGGGAAAATGGTTTAAGCGATCCCAACACCGTTTGAGCCGTATTCAGTTGGAGAAAAAAGAAATGGAGGCTTTTAAGGAGTTGAATGAAAATGATTTTACGGGACATTGTGTGCAATTTAACAAAGATTTGGCAGTTGAAATGTTCAAGGCCAATGAAGTAGTAGTAGAATGTACTACTGAGGCAGATAACATAGACTGGCATGCTGAATTCTTCGGATATAAAGATCCGAAGACGCTTCTTTTTCGTTACAACTCTCCTTTAAGTCGTAATGGTGACCAATACCGATTTATTCACAAATCTTTATTCGAATATTTTGTTGCACGATCAATCTTCGAAGATATTTGCAAAAAAGCTAGATCCACACTATTTGAAGAAAATTTAATACTACGTGACCCTGGGATTGTTCGCTTTCTAACCGAGTATGTAAAACAGAAAAGGGGTCCAAAGTATGCACAACAGGCCGAAAAATTTAAAGACAATCTTCTTAATCTTATTGAGAAATCGAAAAAAGAAGCTAAATTCGAAATCGCCGCAGCAAATGCAATCACAATTCTGACTAGAGCTGGAATAGTATTTAATGGGAAGAATCTAAGCGGAATTCATATTGCCGGAGCGGATTTAAGTTATGGCCTGTTTGATCACACACAGTTTAAAGGGGCAGATTTAAGTAATGTTAATTTCAAAGGAGCGTGGTTGCGATATGCGGATTTTAGCGATGCTAATATGTCGGGCGTACAATTCGGAGAAATTCCTCTTTTGGATTTTGAGTACGGTTGCAAATGTTGTTGTTACTCCCCGGATGGACGTTTTCTTGTCATTGCAAGCGAGGTAAAAGTTTATCTTCATGATGCCGAAACGTTAGAGAATATATGTACCTTCGAAGGACATACTGCTGTAGTCTTTTCTCCGGATGGCACTCAACTAGCATCAGTCAGTAATGGCAATACAGTGCGGCTGTGGTCTCTTGAGAATCTGGATCAAGATCCGCGCATTCTAAAAGGACATACTAACAGTATTCTGAGTGTAGCCTTTTCTCCCGATGGCACTCAACTAGCATCGGGCAGTATTGACAAGACAGTTCGACTATGGTCCCTCGTGACCCCAGATAAAGAGCCACGTGTTCTACGACATATTGATTGGGTTGAAAGTGTAGCTTTCTCTCCGGATGGCACCAAATTGGCATCGGGTAGCTGGGATAAGATGGTGCGGTTGTGGTCTCTCAAAAATCAGATTCACAGTCCGCGAATTATAAGACATACTCATTTTATTAACACTGTGGCCATCTCTCCGGATGGCACCCAACTGGTATCGGGCAGTAGGAGTGATACGGTGCAACTGTGGTCTATCGAGAACCAGAATCAGAATCAGAATCCATGCATTTTAAAAGGACATGCTGAAGAAGTTAACAGTGTAGCTTTCTCACCAGATGGCACCCAATTAGCATGTGGCAGTAATGATAAGACGGTGCGACTGTGGTCCCTTGCGAACCCTGATCAAAATCCACAAATTTTAGAAGGACATACCGGCACCGTTAGAAGTGTGGCTTTCTCTCCGGATGGCACACAACTGGCATCATGCAGTGGTGATAAGACGGCCAGACTATGGTCCCTAGAAACTCCCAATAGGGATCTGTGTATAGTTAAAGGACATACTCTTTCTATCAACACTGTGGACTTCTCTCCAGATGGTACCCTACTTGTATCAGGTAGTGATGACAAGACAGTGAGGCTTTGGTCACTCGAGAATTTGGATCAGGATCCGCATATTCTAGGACACACTGATTATGTTAAAAGTGTATCCTTCTCTCCAGATGGTACTCAACTGGCTTCGGGTAGTGCTGATTGTAAAGTACAGCTGTGGTCCCTCAAGTCTCTCGACCAGTATCCGCGTATTTTAGAAAGAAATACTCGTTGGTTTAAAAGACATGGTGGTTTGGTTGAAAGTGTAACTTTCTCTCCGGATGGCACTAAACTGGCATCAGGAAGCGCAGACAAGACGGTGTGGCTGTGGTCCCTCGTGACTCCCGATCCGGATCCGCGCATTTTAGAACATACTAATAAAGTTGTTTCTGTGGCTTTCTCTCCGAATGGCACTCTACTAGCATCGGGATGTAGTGACGAGACGGTGTGGTTATGGTCGCTCGAGAATCCCGATCAGGACCCACGCATTCTAAAAGGACATACTAATAGCATTTTGAGTGTAGCTTTCTCTCCTGATGGAACTCAACTAGCATCGGGTGGTGTTGACAAAACGGTGCGGCTGTGGTCCCTCATGGTCCCTGATCATGATCCTTACATTTTAAGACATTCTGATGGTGTCAAAAGCGTAGCCTTTTCTCCGGATGGCACTCAACTGGCATCTGGAAGCGAGGACAAGACGGTGCGGCTGTGGTCCACAATAACTGATCGATGCCTAACCATTATATATCTTCCCGGAGAAGTTAATGACCTTGCTTGGAAGAATACAAAGGTGGGAGATTTCCTATTAACAGGTGGTACTGATAAAGTCATTCGTATGTGGCATATAAAAAGAATAGACTATCAAACGTCGCAAGCCACTTTACATTGGACCTCTGGTCAAACTATATTATGGGCTTCTAAAGCGTCTATTCGAAACGTGAAAGGTTTGAGTTTGATGAATATGCTCCTCTTAAAGCAAAAAGGTGCCACTGAGGAATCTGAGGAATCGATAATAGATATTAACGAAGTATCGTAAAATAAGTAAGATTCACAACACATTTTCTAGTAAGAACAATCTGTTGTATATACTATATATACAGTATATTTTCTTGTTACTCTGTTACGAGCAAAGTAATGAAGTAAAATACTACAAAGGACATGTAATTAAACTTTGTTTAAAGAAAAGTAATAGTAATTTTGATTTTTTATAATAATAATATTTTTTAAAATTAAAAATTATAAAATTAATTAACTCATCGATTTAATTGCAATTTAAATAATTTTTAAATTAATTATAATATATTTCAATGTTCAATAACATATATAGTATATACAGTCTGGTCCAAAAAAAATTAAAAAAAAAAATGAAATCAAAAGAAATTTTTTAATATACACAGTGAAATTCGATATAACGTAACCCTAGGGCAATTAGTAAAAAATTTTGAAAATTCCACTATAGTAAGATTTTTTTAAATTTTATTATTAAATCTATTATATTGAGATTATTTTATTATAGCTGTTTTTGAGTTTATTTTACTATGTCAAGATTTTTATATGTTTTCACTATATCGAATATCTGCTATATTGAATTTCACTGTGTATAAAGAAATAAAATTACATAAAAAATAGCAATTTACAAAATGTCATAATTATCATAAAATATATTATGAAATAATTAAAATCATTTCAAATATCTAAATCAATTAAATATAGGTTTATAAATTTTTAAAATGATTTTTATGATTTTTTTATTTTAAATAATTTAAAATTTGATGTTTATTTTATTAAAATAAATTTTAACAAATAATTAATTAATAATAAAAGAATTTTTTTATTACATGATAAAAATGATATTGATATTTTATTAATAATTAATTAAATAAGAATCTATGGAAAATATATATATATAACATAAAATAAATTATATTTTTTAATGAATTTAAAATTGAAATTAAAAGAATAATCAAAATATTATTTTAATTATTTTTAATTAATTATTTTATTATATTTATTTATATTTATTATATTTATTGTTTTTTTAAAAATTTTTATATGATTTGAAAATGTTTTTATATCGCACTATACATCACATGTCAAATTCAAATTTAAAAAAAAATCCCAAGTTTATATGATTTTATTAATTATTAATTATTAATTAAATTTTTAACTTTATATAAAAAAACTTCAAATCCGTATATATATTTTATATATTTAAATTTTTTAAAAAAAAAAAAGAATTATTTTTTTTTAATTTTTTATTTGTATATACAGTACCTTATTGTATATACTGCAATATTATAAATCAAACATAAATAATTATATAGATACAGTATACAGTACATAGAACTTTTTGAAAGCCGGGAAATCTCGGTTTTCTAGATGGCTTTAATTTTGTCTAAATTTGGGATAAGTAAATTCGGGACAAAATAACGTACGCCGATCATCTCCAATGGCATATTACTTCATTAGTAATGCCAAAAACCCGTTTGCGTTGTTGATCACGAATAATTTAGCACACGACCGATTGTATGCATACCATGGAGTTCAGTTCATTTCCCGTTTAGGCTTAATGCACAGCATAGTAGGCTGAATCGGGAAAAGACACGTGTCGGAAAAGCGAGGAACTATGTTATGCGTTTGAGATGGTAAAATTCCAAGGGAAGTCCGATTTTGGATTACGCATTACGCTTAAATTCCATTTTTATCTCCCCGAGTGACTATGAAAGAAAGAAAGAAAATATATATTGTTCGCCGATTATTCATAAAGCACTCCCTTCGGTGTTTGCCTGTTGTTTCTTTTATGCGCATGACAAAAATCCTATCGGCAAATATGTAAAATATGTTGATGATGGAAAATATGATGACCGGAAAATGTAGATAGTTGCAGCATCGTACGCATGTATTCACCAAAATGAAATTTACATTATTCATCATGTTCATAATTTAATTTTTGCGTAAGGTTGACATAAAAAAGAAAGATTTGAATTCTTATATCATCTATAGTGTAATCAAAAAGGCGCAGTGTACTTAAAGGATCTTCTTCGCTATGAATTCTTGACAATGATCAGAACCTCACATATTAGTCATGCAATTACAAATTAGGAAATGAAAAATGAATTGTTATTTTTTTTATTGGGCATTTATATGACGTCACATTAAAATACAGCATTCGCTATCATACTGCGCTACTACGCATTTTACGTACATAACACGCATCCGTCACCTCCTGTTTACATTCTCTTACCGTTTACCCTACGTAAAGAGAAACATTATTACAATTTGCCTTCACCATCTTCCTCAATAATGACCGAAACGAGGTTTCAGGAAATTGATATTTTTGAGGTTGAGTGTGAATATGCAAATGAGGCAGCATATGCTTACTTGTTCAACTCTCTCCACGAGATCGAAGAAATGGAAGAACTCCAATCACCGATCCCTCAAACTGATAACAGCAATATTGGAACCTCGTCATCAAAGACAGGGATTGCCGAGCAACCCAGTGAGGACGCCCATGAATTAGTTCGCCGGAGAATGGGAGACCTTGCCTGCAACAAAGCTGGAATGCAAGGATTAGACACAGAAAAGATCAATCGAATTATATATGAAGCTACCAAGGTAGGTATTATCTGGATAGTTCTTTAATGAATATGGTTGATATTAATTAAACTCCCTTTGACGACTAGGGTACACCGTTCTTTGAAAACGAAGCAAGGAAAGACACAGCCGTTAGTGTTAGAATTGAAAAATTGAAAGAAAGATACGAAACCCTAAAAAAACGAGATATATTTACGTTCGCATTCACAGTGGACAAGATTATTCAAAAATATGAAAGGGAAAGAGATCTATCTCGAACAATCGTTCACATAGACATGGATGCATTCTATGCATCGGTCGAAGAACGCGACTATCCCCACCTGAAGAATGTTCCAATTGCTGTTGGCGATAACATGATGTTGAGTACATCAAGCTACGAAGCACGTAAGGTAGGATTTATATGTCAACTATGGCTTTACGGAGATGAAGTAATTTATTCGATCTTACGCGCTTAAAATTAGTATGGCGTTCGCAGCGCAATGCCCGGGTTCATTGCCATGAAATTGTGCCCTCAACTCGTTATAATACCGTGCCATTTCGATAAATACACGGCTGTCTCAAATAAAATCCGCGAAATTTTCGCCCGTTACGATCCTAATTTTTCTCCGGTAAGTCTGGATGAGGCTTACTTGGATATCACAAATTATCTCCAAATCACAAATAAATCTCCAGAAGAAATAAGTCAACAAATTCGGAATGAAATATTTGAAGAAACAAAACTGACGGCTAGTGCAGGCATTGGAGCGAATATGTTATTGGCCAAGGTATTTTTGAAACATTGTGCCCAATGTTGTTCTTAATCCTCAGAGTGAATGATAATCTTTTACAGATTGGATCCAATATCAACAAACCAAATGGACAACATTTTCTCCAAAAAAATTACGAATGCATAATGGAATTCATGAGAAATCTTCCTATACGAAAAGTTCCGGGTAATATTACGATAGCTGTTCGATTTTTTCATCACTGTCAATTTGTTGATAGCCAGGCTCAGTGCAGAAAAATCAAACCCGGCTAGTAATACAATCGTTAAATTTCATTGAAATAAATTCTATTTGATCGATATTGAGATATTTGTATTGAACAATAAGGTATCGGCAAAGTTACAGAAAGAATTCTTGGTGCCCTGGATATTAAGACATGTGCTGACATAATTGACAAGCGTCTATATCTTTATCGGTTATTTTCGGAACATTCGTTCAACTTCTTCATGCGGGCTGCACTCGGAATTGGTTCATCGATAACTCCAATGTAGTAGATCCTTTTGGGGGCGTGCATGGTACCCACAAAAAAAATCGTTAAAGTTTCTTTTTTTTTCTTTTTAGAGAGATTGAAAGGAAAAGTGTTGGTGTCTCAAGGTTACTATTATATCTATATTTAATGCAGCGTTTCACTTGCTCAAACCTAATTCCTTTAATTCTTTTTAGAACGTTTTCATCACCAATTCGGCCTAAAGATCGATTATCAAAGCTCCGCCAATTATGTGAACTTTTGGCGACCGAGCTTGATAAAGAAAATGTTTCTGTATGAAATATTAATGTTGATTGATGACTTTATGTATTGTAGTATTTAATTTTAACTTCATGAAAAATCACAGGGAAAAACCTTATCAGTAGTCTTTAAAGAAGTTTCCTTTAGAACATTTACTCGTGCAAGAACCATCAATAAATACATCCACTCGGCAGATAATTTGTTCCATTACAGCAGACAGGTAATATGTGATCATCAGTTAATTAGTGACATAACATTGGATTTTAAATGCGTGCATATACTGTAGATAGTGGAGGCTGAAATGCCCACGGATTTAAGGCTAATGGGAATTCGACTGACTAAATTGCGGCCTCGTGACACGGAAATAAAAAGTGGCGTAAAAAGGGTATAACATAAAAAAAGAAGTTTTTCATTGTCAAAAAACTTCACAAATTAATATTTCTTCGGGTACTATAGTACTTTCCTGTGATAGGAAGCGGTAGCTGCAAAAAGATCTGTTCCGGATCTAGTAATGGTAAAAAGTCAGTAGAATCGGTGAAAACTTCTAAACCAACTACTTCTGCTACAAATTCTCGATCAAAATGGCATGAAGTTCCTGCCATTGCTCAGTTTTTCAAGTGTCCACGTTGCGAAAGACAGTATATCAATGAGAAAATCGCTCACATCAATGAACATTTAGATCAATGTATGATTAATAATGCACATCCCAATGATAATAGCAATGAGCTAATCATGAAGACTAATTCGGATCCGACCATTGGAGGAAGTGGTATAACCTTAGACACCCTTGAAAACGTGGCTTGTGGTCGAACCAACGAAGTCATTTGTCATCAAGACTCTCGAACATTGATAGAGATTTTGGATGAGAAAGATCAGCAGCAGCATGATGGCGAAACAGTGGAACTTTTGAGCACGAATGTTGCTTTAAAAAATGTTAAAAAAACTCGTAGTTTAGAAAACTCATCGGATACAGAAAATATTCTCAATGTTCAACAAATAATAACTTGGGAGTGCCCCAAATGTCAAAAAAATTTCAACAGACCAACGCTCATGCGAATAAATACTCATTTAGATGTGTGCTTGCGGAAAAAAGTCACATTAAGAAGTCGAAGGTAATCCAAAATTCTTTATACGATCTGTTTGCATCAGACACTCCACAATCTAACGCTCAAAAAATACAAACACAGCCGAAAGAAAAAAAATAACAAAAAGGTGACCGAAAAAACATTGCTTTTTTTCTTCGATAAGACGTACTTGCGATAAAGCAATTTTTAATCCCGTGGAATATATATACAGTATATATATTTAATAAAAAATTTTTTAAGTTGACTTTCATAATCGCTAAAAATTCATGAAGTAAACTATTGTATCGAATTTATTCTGATCATAAACCGAATTAGTTTATTAAACACCGTAAGCCACCCTATACTTTGTATACCATAACGTGAGCATATTGGTGTGTGTAATTGTTCACTCAACCACCAATACTTTTATTAAACCATGTTTTTATTCAATTTTCCGTGATTTAATTTCCCAAATTAACACAACAATATAAAAACAAATCAAGTATCTAATTGTCTTTTAAATATAACTTTTGAATTTAAATTTTTTAAAAATTTATTACCAATTAAAAACTTTTAAATTATCGGTATACTAGCACGTTAGCCTGGGCTATGCTCCAGGATTAAAAATGCTAATGTATTTTATACATTAATATAATATATATATAATAAATTATAATATTGTATTAATAAAAAGCAAATTTTTTTTATATAAATAAATATAGTAATTTATAAAGTAATAGTATTGGCTATATTAAATTAATTAAAAAATTTAATATAAAAATAATTAATTGCTTTTATAATAGTATCAAAAATTAATTTTTGATCACTATTTAATTTATCAAAATATTGCAATCAATAAATTTTGATTATTCTCAAGTAATGAATAATTGGGTTTTGAAAGATCTGAAAAATTTAAGGTTGTTTTATCTTAAATCAAAAATCTTTCAATATCAATTAATGCTTTGTAATACTTGTTAATTGACCATTATCTTTTCTAATAAAATTTTCAATCATAATAGCAATATGATTATCTCAAAAAGATTTGATATTTGTAGATCAACAATATAATAATATAGTAACAAATAGTTGCCTTAATTGTATTGGCATTTGATATGTTGTTGCTTTAGAAAGACAAATATTATATTCATTATCATTATCTACTAAATCAAGTTGATATGCAACTTTTTTGAAAGTATTATATTATATTCCACAAATTGTTTTTAAGTTATCAAATGAAGTTGCTCTAGGAATAAAAATTAATAATATTCTTAAATAATATTTTTCTTTATCTTTTAGATTAACAAAATAAAGTTAGGAAATTATTTTTTTACCATTTCTTTTTATTTGATACTAATTATTATTTTTCCAAATAAAATATTTGAGAAAATTGATATATTTTAAATTTTGAATTTTATCAATATTTGAATTATTTGTACATATTTCAAAATATCTTGTTAATTTAATACATACACATTTTTCTAAAATTGATGTTAATTCATTGGTATCTGGAAAAATAATTATTTGCTGATTTGGTAAATAAATTGGTAGTTTTTCAATTTTATAAGATCTTTGTTATATATTAAAATTAAATAATCTTCAAATTATCTCTAAAGCAAAAATATATCTTGCATTAATATATTTTTTAATTTTATCTTGAGAATTAACAATTGATACTAAAACTTTGCCTTGATTTTTATAAATATATTTGTAGAAATATTTAATTGATTTAATACTTGAATATATCTTTACATTAATATGACAATTATATTTTTGACTAAAATATAAATTATAAGAAACAACCTATCTATTATCAATATCAATTGCAATTTCTCTTTTTTTGATAATTCTTCCATTATCTCTTCTTTTATAAATTTAATATTTAGAATCATTAATAAATGTGTTGTAAAATCTTTGAAATAATGTTTATTACATTTTCTATCTATCATGTATGAAGATAATAGATTAATAGTACTATAAAATCCATGAATCATATTTCTACTAATTGTTTCAAATAATTTGGATTGATTATTTTCATTAAGAATTTCAGTAAATATAATATTATCAAAATCTTCAGAAATTTGTGGTTTATTTTTAGATACCAATATTATTAAAATATAAACATATAATAAATCTCTCTTTTGAAATTCTATAATATAAACATAAGTATAATCCTCTTGCCAACACAAAAAACAGATGTTTCAAAGAAATTTTATATTTCTTTATAATATAGTCTATATACTTTCTTTAACAACATCAATATCTAGAGGCTATAACCTCTCCCCTCTTGTTTCTTTCTCTCTTTAATATAAACTTCCTATATTTCAATAAGTAAATACAAAAAAAACCTATCTACAAAGTCAAAGGCAAGAATATTTTGTTAAAAAAAAGAACTTGTAAAAAAAATACTCCACTTTTTTTTTTCAGAAATTCAAGACTTCAGAAAAGATTGGCATAAGCTTTTGAAACTCTTCTCTCATCTTTCTTAAGTCTCTCTCTTATCCTTTCAGGCGTATATACTTTTTTCTGATTTTTTTGGAGAATTTTGCCTACCTCAATTTGACTCTGAATTTTTGGTTACACCAGAACTTCTGAATAATGATTGGCTAGAAATTTGGATTGGTTGATATATATTGTTACACTTGATTTTTGCCAAGATCATCACTACCCCTTGCCCGATTTTTACTAGCATTTATCCTTGAAATATTATCCATTCTAGAATAATTCTTGTATTACTATTCTTGTTATTGTTTAGCACTATACTTTTCGTGCTATTGTTGCTCTAGAATATTTCCTATTTTATTTATTTCTCTTTAT